ATAGGTAGGAGGATCTCAGTACAAAGACAGCCAAGGCAAAAACTCAAGATCCTAGTTGAAAAAATAAAGCCAAAAAGAGCTGGGAGAATGTGGCTAAGTAGTAGAGTGTTTCTCTAGCAAGCACAAGGTCTTGAGTTCAAACCTCGGTCCCACCAAAAAGAAAAAGGAGGAAAATTTTGTTATATACTTCTAAATGGATATACCTTGAGGACAGGATGCTAAGTGAAATAAGCCAGTCACAAAGACAAAAAACAGTCAGATTCATTTGCAAGTTCTTTAAAGTTGTCAAAGTCACCACAATAGAACAACGACATACAAGGCATTACCAGGTGTTGGGAGGGAAAGAGATGGGAAATTGTTCAATGGGTGTAGATTTTATAAGATACCAAGTTCTGGAGCTGGGTGGCCGTGGCTCACACCTGTAATCCTAGCTACTCAGGGGACTGAGATCTGAGGATCGTGGTTCAAAGCCAGACCAGGCAGGAAAAGTCCATGACACTCTTATCTCCAATAAACCACTGAGAAAACCGGAAGTGGCACTTGGCTCAAGTAGTAGAGCACTAGTCTTGAGCTCAAGAGCTGAGGGACCGCGCCCAGGCCCAGAGTTCAAGCCCCACAACTGACAAAAAATAAAAATAAAATAATTTAAAAGATACCAAGTTCTGGCTGCTTCATAATAAAGTGAAGATGCTTAACATTACTGACTTGTGCACTTAAAATAGTGAAGATAATAATTTTATGCTATGTGTTTGCCCCCCCCAAAATTAAAAAGCAACAAAACTCTTGTAGTTACACTATGTGGTGTACAAAAGCCATAACATCTCTTCCTGTCGGCATCAAACACCTCAATGTGAAAGACCAAGAGACACAGTCAAGGGGTACAAGGCTAGAGGCCATGTATTGGCAATTTCAAACTCAAAGATATGCTTTGAGACTGCGGTCTGATTCAGAAAAATAAGAGAACTAAACACAGTTGGCTGTTTCTCAATTCCAGTATTATTTCCCAGCAACTGGAAATGAGTGGATTTTCTAGCTATTCTCCCATAGAACCCATTTATGCTCATTATGATTGCCAACTATCTGCTTCTTGGCTAGTAATGACTGCATTAATTTGGTACTTACTTTGGTTGAGCCAGAGATGAAAATTTTAAATTAGAAAGATGTGGTAAAAACCCACCCATAATCCCAGGCCTAGGGGAGGCCAAGGAGTATATTTGGTTTAAGAATAGCCTAGACTACATAATGAGACCTTGTCTCAAAAAACAACAGAAGTTTAAAGCCAACAGTATGGAAGATGGTATCATTTGGATCTTTGGATTAAGAATCTCCAAGTTGCTGGGCACTGGTGGCTCACGCCTGTAATCCTAGCTACTCAGGAGGCAGAGTTCTGAGGATTGCAGTTCAAAGCCAGCCCAGGCAAGAAAGTCTGTGAGACTCTTATCTCCAAGTAACCACTAGAAAACCGGAAGTGATGCTGTGGCTCAAGTGGTAGAGCGCTCACCTTGAGCTGAAGAGCTGAGAGACAGCACCCAGGCCCAGAGTTCAAGCCCCACAACCAACAATAACAACAACAAAAGAATCTCCAAGTTAACTTAATACTCAGCCTTTTACTCACCACCACTTAAAAATGGTCAAGCATCACCTCTGTGTTTGGCTTTCTGGTAATATATATATTGTTGTTGTTGTTTAATGGTGCCTATTTGGGGACCAAAGACACTGTCATCAGCCTTGGTTTGGGGAAACCTCCAGGCCATGTGGGAATGATCAAAGGATCTCAACTCTACAGAAAAGCCACAAGAATGTTTGGCTTTGTGGCTAGTATGTACGAAAATCATTTTGGCAGGAAGAAAATAAGACTTTTTAAAAAGCAAGCAAGAAGAGAGAAATTGGAAAAACCCTGCCTTTCATTACTTCTGGAATTATCAATCAAATTCAAGATGATTTCTCTAAAAACAGGCAGAGAAAAAGAGCTTTCTCCTTATACTAGTTTATACCTATTTCTCTAAGAAACAAAAATCCAATGTACAACACACAGGTAATTTTAAACTTTTACAGGCCACATTTTAAAAGTAAAAAGAAAAATTAGTTTCAATCTTTTAACCTAATTTATTCAACATGGTCTGATATTAGCATGTCATCAATAGTTTGAAGGGGTTTTTTTGGTACTAGAGCTTGAACTTGGGGCCACATACTCTCATTTGTTTTTTTTCACTCAAGGCTGGTGCTCTATCACTTGAACCACACCTCCACTTTCAGCTTTTTTGTTGGTTGGTTGGAGATAAGAGTCTTACATGGGCTTTTCTGCCCACACTGGCTTTGAACAGCAGTCCTTAGATCTCAGCCTCCTGAGTAGCTAGGATTATAGGCCTGGGCCACCAGCGCCCAGGCTCAATGTTTTTCAAATTAGTAAAAATGTTGATATTGTTTTAATTGCTAAGCCTTTAGCATCTGATGGGTATCTTACACTTCAAACACCTCTCAGTTCAGATGAGACAACTCCACCTACACTAGATGCCAAGTGCATAGGATAGTGCTACTGCAGAATCAAAAACTCTGTGTTCTTCATAGAATATAGTTAGTGGCTGCTTTTGAAATCCAAGCCTGTTTCTAGTTTGCACTTTCTAGATTGTGTCATAGGATTCTTCAAATTCCTCCCTAACAGGTTGGATGGCTACATTACCTGCTCCTTTACGCTAATGTAACCATCATTTAAAGTTTTACACAATGTGTTGGTTTAATTTTTCAATCACAAAATTAACTTTTTTTTTTTGGTCGGTGGTGGGGCTTGAACTCTGAGCTTAGGTGCTGTCCCTGCACTCTTCAGCTCAAGGCGAGCGCTCACCTACTTGAGCCACAGCGCCACTTCTGGTTTTCGAGTGGATTATTGGAGATAAGAGTGTCATGAACTTTCTTTACCTGGCTGGCTTTGAACTGTGATCCTCACATCTCAGACTCCAGAGTGAAAGGATCAATGAAAGGATCTGTCACATTGATGCCAGAGGACCATGTAAAGGCAGACAGACACAGGAGAAAGATGATTACAAGGTTTATTAGAGGAGCCATATTTCCCCCAGAGAGAGAGAGCGCATGGCAGCCTCCGCTATAGGTAGCAGCAGGGTCTGGGGGATAGGAAATGAGGTAGATGGAAGCTCAGGTAGGTCTGGGCAGAGAGAGGGAGGGGCCAGCAGGTCTGGTGGAGCTGAGGACCAAAGGTGGGCATAATGCTTACACAGAGTAGCTAGGATTATAGGCGTGAGCCACCAGTGCCTGCAAATTAACTTTTCTTTAAAAATTGATTTTATCTAAAAAACTATCACCTCACAATTCAAGTTTGATATTTTACTTATCTTCTTTGTGCTATTCCTGGTGCTTGAACTCAGGGTCTGGGCACTGTCCTTGGGCTTTTTGTGCTCAAGACTAGAGCTCTATCACTTGAGCCTTCCAGTCTTTTTGTTAGTTAACTGCAGCTAAGAGTCTCACAGGTTTTCCTGCCTAGGTTGGATTCAAACCATGATCCTCAAATCTCAGCTTCCTGAATAGCTAGGATTACAGGTGTGAGTCACCAATGCTCAGACAAGTTTGGTATTTCATATTTGCAAAAAGAGCTAGCACAATCAAAATAAATATTTGACATGTAAAAGAAGTTTTGTATACTAGCTAAAACCAACAATGAAGTGAACTAATATTTGTTCTCATGCTGTCATTTTTCAGTAGCTTTCCATTTCAGGACATTTAGTCTCGAATGCATTCCTGCCTAAATCTCCTAGCACAAAGAGATAGCTCAGCCTTCCTCTGTTTGATTTCAGTAAGTCCTCACAGGAGTCCTTTCTCTGCAGACCACAACAAATCACAGCAGGGGGATTTGCTCCTTTGTATTGCATAGGCACAATAAAAATCCCACCATATCCTGTATATACACTTGTGTGTGTATGTGTGTGTGTGCACACATGCAGACACATATATTCATACAAGTCATATATATATATATATACACACAAATGCATATATATATGAGTTTATATATGTATATGCACGTAATCACAAAAATCTTAGGAAGAATTTTTATTTTCCTGCTTTTCCAGAAAAAGAGAATAGGCATGGAATAGTCTCAGAGCTACCAAGTCATTGTCTTCAAAAGCCAAGAAATCTGACTCTGGAGGTTAAGTATTTGCCTAGAACATTGAGATGGGAGGGAGGAAAGAAGGGCTCTGAGAAGGAGGGAAGGAAGCAGAGAAGGGGGATAGGGAGGGGGAAAGGGGATAAGGGAAGGAGGGGAAGAAGGGGAGAGGGAGAGAGCAAGAGACAGGGAGAGATCTGACTCAGAGGAATGGAAGGGAAAGAGGAAGGGAAGAGAGAATAATCTGATTCTGACTCTGGTCTCTTATTACCCCAAGGACTACAAATGTTGTAAAGAGACCTAAGTTGAGAGAGAAAAAGAGACAGACATAGAGAAATAAAAAGACAGAGCAAAACAGAGAGAGAGAGAGAGAAATTTGTGGTCATATATACAAACCTCTCATAGTCAATTTCTCCCCAGCATTTAGCAACTTCTTCCAGTACAGACAAAGGTGGGAGGCAAGTGAAATAATTTAAAATGCCACCAAGATGTCTTCTATAAGTTACAGTGATGAATTCATTTTACTTAGAATGAGGAAAATAACCATAACAACCGAAAACAATGAAGATTCCAACAACAAAAAGTTGTGATGGGGAGGGGGAGAGGGGAATGATTGGGAGGGTTGATGGATAGACATAAAATAGCTGGGCCAAAGGATAGACAAGGAGATCTTTGCTCCAGACTAGGGAAGAGAGAAATATAAAGGCACATGTGACCTCTCTGACCATCCTAGCAAAGACCTGGCCAGCAGCTGACATAACACTGGCTGCCCCCCTAGGCAACTTGAGTCAAAAAGTTACAAGGTGATATGTGTCAAGGGCCTAATTATGTGGCTTTCATTTACAGGTTTTCTGGAGTTGGGGCAAAGGTAGGATCCACTTACATGTACTCTCTATGGGCAGAGTGCACAGCAGCCGCATTGCTGTAACGCCACAGGACGATCGCTGACGACAGTACATCCAGAATGGCATCAAACTAGGAGAAGGAGACAGAGCGTTAGTGGCTTTCCAGAGCTAATGGGGTCCAGTGAGGAAGAGACAGGGCAACTGTGCTGTGACTCAGAATCCTGGAATGAGGATCACACATCAAAGAGGTTTCTACAAGTCACCATGGAGCCTGGAGAGTTTGGAGTCCTGCTGCTCTGCTATTGCCTGGTGGATTCTGTCCCCCCAGGGCCACTGGTTCCCAGTGCTTGGAGATATGGGATGGGGGTCAGGGGTACACTCCTCTGAAATCTGTAGGATTGGTGTCTGTGGCAGGCAAGGCTTTCTGTACATTTTAAAGGAAAGATTTGGGGTGAGGATTCCATTTCTGGCTCTCAATGGTACTATTCTACCTGAGTTCAGGGTAGGGGTGGGTCACTGTGGGGCTCTAAGAAGTCCATTAACACTGATTTGCACACAATGCAGTGTTTTTGTGTGAATGGACAGTAAGCTAGAGAGAAGGAAAAGGAGAGGGTGGTGGTGAGAAAGCTTGTTAGAGAAGGGAGGTGTGTGTTTCTGGGCATGTGTTAGATGTAGCATGTTGGTGTGTCTGTGGTATGGGGGCATGCATGTGTATGCATGAGTGTATGTGTGTGTGGTGTCTGGGTGTTTGTGATGTGTGTATGTATGTATGTATATGTGTATATTTCTGAGTGTGTATTATATGTACCATGTCAGTTTGTCTGTGGTATGGAGCATGCATGTGTGTATATGAGTATGTGTTTATGTGTGTGAGGTCTGAATGTCTGTGGCATATGTTTGTGATAGGTGTATGTGTATATTTTGCACATGTATGTCTGGGTGAGCGTAGTCATGTGGTTTTTTTGGACAGAGTATACTCTTTGTAAGATTCAGTAAAGACTGCAACACCCACAAAACATGAAGTTCTTACAACAGAGCAGAAGTGTTTGGGAAGAGTCACACATAACTAATTGGTACAGGAACCTACACTTACCCAGGAGGGATAGTAAAAGGGGCTCTCCTTGAGTCAGCACACTGTGTACCTCAGCTTTCATTTGCATAGTTATAAGCACTGGGGACAGGGGAAACATCATCCAGTTTTACAGCATACCTAAAGTACAAGACATTCACTTTGTCTGACTAAATTGCTCCAGGAGGCTGGTCAGGAAAACAGGGACCCTCAACTTGGGCTAAAGATTGACTTACCCTAATGTGAGCAACCCCAATCCTAACTCCCAGCCCCTCTGTCTACACCATTAACCAGAAAAAAATCCCTCTCCAATACATGCCAGGCCCCCACACAGCCTGGAAGGGAAAAGGAGGGCTTAAAAGAGCCTCTCAATTAACCACCTTGTAGAAAATATGACCTCTTCACCTTTGAGAAATAAACATTCTTATTGCAGTTTGTTTTAATTAACTTGTAATTTTTATAGAAGCTGCTACTATAAAAGCTGTGTTCCTCATGTTAAGCTCTTCGATGCTACCCACCCTCTTATTTGAAAGATTGGGAGAAAATTCATGGGCTCAGGAAAAAAACAAAAACAAAAAAACGTGCAAAACTTCATGAAAGTACATTTCAGGTTACTTACTGCAAACCCAAAAGCAGAGGCGCTGTACCTCATAACGGAGACAGCTAAAAAGAAAGAAAATATTATTCAGAATATGTGAAAAACCTCATGAATAGTGGCTCTCATTCATGTGGCAATTAATAGCATTTGATATAGCCTATTAAACATCAATGAAAAGGTCCAAAATAAAATTAAAAATTCCTGCCTTTGTACAATCTGAGAAATTAAAAAAGAGAGAGAGAGAGAACAAAAGATAAGCTCAGACAACTTTCTTTGTGTATTCAGAAGCATCAAAGGCCAACATCAGAACAAATGACCTCAGCAGTTATCAATCTGATGAAAAGAAACTCCAAATTTAGAAAGTGATTAACAGACTAGTAGAAAAGATGTTAAACTTTTGAAATGATATGGAAACTATAATTCTTCCCGCAAGGGAATTATGCACACCCCATTGCTAATAATGATAGAGAAAAATCTTTTGATCCAAACCCTCCCTGAGCCTTTACAGTATAAGGTAGACATTAATGTAGCTATTTATAAAAACAATGACAAATGAGCTTAAAACAATAGACATCCATAAACAGTTATAATTAAAGCATTTATCCATATTACAATATGAGGAGGGGCAAGTCAGTTGAGTGTATAATTCTTTTTTTGGGGGGGGGTCTGGTCGTGGGGCCTGAACTCTGGGCCTGGGCACTGTCCCTCAGCTCTTCAGCTCAAGGCTAGCGCTCTACCACTTGAGCCACAGCGCCACTTCCGGCTTTTTCCTTTTTGCTTATGTGGTACTGAGGAATCCAACCCAGGGCCTCATGCATGCAAGGCAAGCACTCTACCACTGAGCCACCTTCCCAGCCCCTGAGTGTATAATTCTGTTCTGGGCCAAAGCAACGTCTACTTCAAAAACTGTCCCCAAATTGATTCAATAAAGTCTACCATGCTCCAAGCTAAAGCCATAGTTCACAGGCTGTGTCAACCATCCAAAGCAGTAAACTCCACCTACATATGGGCAAAGCTTTGAAGCATCTTGCCCCAGACATCACAGGTATGCAGCTGTAGGGTTAAAGAGGCCTGAGCCAAAGGTACACAGGTCAGCAGACTGCCATTTAGCTCACCACAGTGTCCCTTTCCTAGGCCCTGATTGCTATCCCATCCACATGGTCCAGGAACAGACCCCAGTCAAGATGGAAGCACTTAATCCAAAGTGGACTGAACACTGTTTATTCTCTATGACCTACGTATTGAGACTGAGAGCCTCTCCAGTCGATTTATGCAGACAGACCTACAATGTTGCTGTAAAGATATAGATGCAGAAAGACAAGCATGCGGCTCACTGAGCACTGGAAAGGCAAAAGCACAGGCTCCCCAGGATTCTTTTGTGTATGTGTGCCAATCCTGGGGGTCTGTGCCTAGGCCCTGGGCCTGAGCTTCTTTGGCTCAAGGCTAGCACTCTATCACTTGAGCTATAGCTCCACTTCCTAGCTTTTCCTAGAGTGCTTTATTGACATTAAGAGTCTCACAGACATTTCTGCCTGCACTGGCTCTGAACAGATCTCAGCACCCTGAGTAGCTAGGATTGTAGGCGAGAGCCACCAGTGCCTGGCTTCTTCAGGATTTTTACATATTCCCTGACACCCGCCACACTGAGGCCCTCAGCTGTATGAGGCTGACTATAGTCTATTAAGTCTCTAACCTTTTCCATCTATGACATGAGCTGGCCCAGGTGGCTTTGCTGTTGCTCTTGCTGGCCCAAAGAGAGGTACAAAGCTAGCTGTATACAGGGCTGGCTGCAGCTTTCTTGATAACACAGATCTGTGGTACACAAGGGTCTTAGCATTCGCTCACAGCCCACACTGGCATAAGCAGAACAAGTACTGGCTCTCTTGGTTGGTGGGAAGGGTCCTGCCTAGAGCACAGAGATGCTCTTATAAAATCAACTTGTAGTATGTGCTCACTGTGAACTGAGCATAGTAAAGTTTCCCAGAAGCAAGCAAAAGAGGGTTGGCTGGGGTTTTCATTACAACCTGTTTTTAACTATCTTAGCTGAACTTAGGGGGCTTTGTAAAAACCAGCAGTGGAAATGGATAAACTTATCTTCTTGCACAGCAGCTCAATACCTGTAAGAGATGAGAATAGGGCCTCCGGGGGAAAGTTCCCCCTCTGAGCTCACCTCGGTGCTCAGTGCTCAGTGGAAGCCAAGGACAAGGCATTCCTGGAGATTTGCTTTGAAGTCAAATTGTCTATGAGTTATCTAACCAGACATTTCTACGATAGGCTACATATTTAAAACATATAGATATGTGATTACAGTGAGAAACACAACTTTATCTCAGGATTTGGAATCAAACAGAAGAACTGGAGGGGTTTCTCTGGTTTTGTGGGATTCTATGTATCAGACAAAAAGGTTTTTCTTTTCTTTTCTTTGTGGTACTGGGGATTAAACTCAGGGCTCTAGTACTCAAGCCACCCAAGTCCTTTTGGTTTTAGTTTGCTTTTTAGATAGGCTCTTGCACTTCTCCCTGGGTTAGCCTTAGACTGAAACCCTCCCATCTCTACCTCCTGAGTAGCTGGAATAATGGACACATAGTGCTACATACAATGCATACGACACTATGCTCAGCCCCACCCCCCACCATATGAGGAATTGAACTCAAGGCCTTCCACTTCTGCTTGGTTTTTGTTTTTTGGGGGGTATTGGGGATTTTTTGGCTCAAGGCTGGCTTTCTACCACTTGAGCCACAGCTCTACTTCCACCATTTTTGCTGGTTAATTGGAAGTAAAAGTCTTACAGACTTCAAACTATGATCCGAGATCTCAGCCTCAAGAATAGCTAACAGGTGTGAGTCACCAGCACCTAGCCCAGCCCTCATTATTTTTGTAGTGAGGACTGAATTCATGAAAGTCCAATGTCCATAGTTCCAAACACTTTTCTGGCAAGTCTGCTTGTATGAAATAAGTCTGCCCAGTGGGTGGATAATCTAGAGTACACACGGAATATTAAAATTGTTCTCTCCTGAGTGTACCGAGGGAAATGTGAGCAAGAAGGCTCCAGGTTAACTCAGAGTCCTTATTAGAGATGGATCATTTACTGATAAATTGCCTTCCTCTAATTTCCCTGATGACACGGAAAGGGAGAGATGCCAAAATTGCATGGATATTTAAGAGCACAGCGAAAGGGCTCTCCACCCAGCCCTTGTTCTGGCAGCTTCCCTCTGTGGCCCACTCCTGGCTCTTGCTACTAAATAACAGCAAATAGTCATTAACACAGGATCCAAGTGGAAGGGCTCAGATGGCCTTTTAAAAATTTATGAAGAGTGTCAAGTAATAACTTCCATTTTCTTTGGTTCCTAACTCATCAAAATGACAAATGAACTCAAAAGAAAAGGTGAGCTGGTTAGATAGCCCTTGTTCACATGAAAAGACAGAGCAAACCTAGGGTTGTTTTTTTTTTTTAATTGCAATGTTCTAGTGCAATGCTAAAACCAAGTTCCATGGCAGCCAAAAGGGGCCATAGGCCCAAAAGGATTCAGTGTTGCCTTGTAAGGCAGTGAATAACAGACAGAGTCCTGTCACCAAACAATTATGCTTCAGATCAGCAAAATCCACATAGAAATGGGCTGCCAGTGAAACAAAGCTCTCCCATGAGGGCTGATCCTATCAAGGCCAAGACTATACTGCTAACAGGAAGAAGTCACCCAGATTATGGGCAGTGCAGAGTCTGAATAACACACATTCAAGTCTTGTCCAACTGACAAGATGGTGGCCCACCATCTCCACTTCATCCCAATTATCACTGTGAATACAATCCCTTAGGGAAATCCTGGAAGAGTGTTTCTGCTTCTCACACTTGACCCCATTTCCCTCACTCAAAACTTCAGTGTGTACTTGGGGAGCTGGTGGCCACCAATGGGTGTACAGTGACAGGGCCTGGAAACCTCACTCTACTCCCAAGGAAGATGTCCCTGGGCTCCCCTCTCTCTACCATGTGACAATGGAAATGCTTTGCCATATGATTAAGCTGGATTTCTCACATCCCAAAGATGCATGCCTAGGGTGCTACAAGCTGATGTCTTTTTCTGGTTTTTGTTTTGTTTTTTAGAACCAAGATTCATAATTCTTAAAAGGTACATGTATCACACTGGCCTATCCCAGAAACTGGTCCTACATCTGGAGTTAATAACTCAAAGGCAAAATTAAATTTGACCCAACGAGAACCTGTCAAATTCTGTTTACCGAAAATATTAGCAAAAGGGTATCTTGAGAGGAAGATTTAGCTGGGCGCTGGTAGCTCATGCCTGTAATCCATCTCAGGAGGCTGAGATCTGAGTATATTTCAAAGCCAAGGCAAGAAAGTCCATGAGGCTCTAATCTCTAATGAAGCAACAAAAAACCAAAAGTGGAGCTGTGGTTCAAGTGGTAGAGTGCTAACCTTGAATATAAAGCTCAGGGACAGAATCCAGGCTCTTGAGTTCGAGCATCAAGACTAGAACAACAGCAACATAAAAAGGTAGATTTAGAGCTGGTGGAAGAGTAACAGGAGCTATAGTGAATTTGATATGAATGGGTACAAACTGCCTTGGAATGTTGCCACAAAGAAAAAGAAAAGTGAAAAGAGAAGAAATACCAGGTGACATCAACTGAACTTTTGGAAGCATGACATCTCTCCTCACATTCCTCAGATTCATCACAATAATTTCCTCACGCTATTTTGAGTTGCTTCTGTGTGTGTGTTGGTGTTTGAATTCAGGGCCTGAGTCTTGTCCCCAGTTTTTTTGTTCAAAGCTAATTCTCTACCATTTGGGCCACATCTCCAACTTCTGGTGGACTCATACTTTACTGATTAGACTGGCTTTGAACTGAGATTCTCAGATCTCAGCTTCCTGAGATCCTAAGAATCCAGGAGCCAGTGTACCCATTCTGAGTTGTTTCTGTGACAAATAGATCTTTTACAGTATGCCTGCACCTGATAACCCTACTCCCAACCATTTCTTTTGGTGCCTAAGAAAATAGAAGACTACTTCATACACAAAAGGTTCATCATAATAAGTTCATGGGATTTATAATA